AAAAAGTTAATGAATAATTAATGTTGATTAAAGTTACTGTAATTATTTAGTGAAGAGCAGCAAATCACTCATTTTAATCCACTGTTTGACAACAGCCCTGCAGGCACAGGATGTCAACATGATGTCATATTGACGGTTTACCCCAAGATGGATTTTATTTGGAAATGAAAATCGGGTTGATGTCAAAACACAACGTCAGGCCGATGTCAATGTCTAATGTCCAACTTAAAATTAGCCAAATTTCAATGTTGAATCATGTTACATATTGACAATGTATGGACATTACCAGGTATGACATCTATCAGATGTTGGATTTTGGTCACTATCCAACACAACCCAAAATCAACCCACAATTTGACGTCGATATTGTTTGTAAAAAAAAAAAAAAACGTGCTTAAACGCTGACTAGACATTGAATTTTGGTCACCTGACTTTATGGCCTAAATCTAATCTAATATTAACGTCTTATGATGTTGTGTGCCTACTAGGAGAGGTGTCACTTTAAGGATCCAGAGATCTATAATGAAAGCATTCAGTGACTTTTGTAACTGTTTATGTTTATTTAAGACCCTTTTTAAAAAATAAAAACATGCCAATTTTACATATTAATAAGTGTATTAGTCTGTTTATAAACAACTAAATCCAAAAGTGTCCACTTTCACTCCTCTTCAAACCACATGTACAGAGTAGGTTTATTACTATTTAGTGCATACTTCAGTCAGTATTGATACATGACTGGACTGATTCAGAGATTGCATGGGAAGGCCGACGGTCGATGCATAGCTTTAATAGAAATGAAGTGAATGTGGCCTTTTTAATTTAATTACAATGTGCTTTTAAGCCAAAATAAACGAAAGCAAAATTCTCAGTAACACTTTATTTTGATGGTCCATTTAAGTATTAGTAGACTGTCTGTTTAATGTTGATACTGCTCCATCAACAGACATTAAACTGACTTTAAGAAACTTTGCAGGTACTGTCAACTTACACTAACCCTAACCCCAGCCTAACAGTCTACTTATAATCTGATGAGAATTTGTTGGCATGTGGATGCAATGTAACTTAAATTCAACAAAATGACCATCAAAATAAAGTGTGACCAAATTCTCTTTTGAACACCTCTTGCAATTACATAATTTTTGAGATAACCGCTTTTTGATGCTACTTTCACCTTTCATAGAAAGATTAAAAATACGGATGAATTAAAGAGAAAAATGGGGGGGGGGTGTCACAGGTATGGTTTACACTTGGTATGAACATATTTTCCATGATTCTGCTAAGACACAATACTATTTACACCTGGTATTTACATTCGTTCAAATGTGTTCCTAGTGACCACTTGTGTTCAGATTTCAATGAGAAATGTTGATAAATTCTACATCACTTTTGTAAGAGCAATGAGCACTTTTGAACGAAATTAAAAAAACTAGTAGAAATACCTGATTTTGGTGCACTTGCATATATGTTACATAATGATCATGTGTTAGGTTATTAGATGTACAGTGAATGCTCTTTTGTGATCATCCAATCAAATGTGTTTTTAACTACCTCTGTATCATGGCCACACAAGGAAGACAAGGAAGGTAAAACCTCAAGAATGTTTATTAAGAATTAGCAACAACAAAAGTAGGTGAAGCAGGTGAATGGCATTGTAGAAGGTGAGCGATCTCACACACAAACAGTCCCATCGTATTGTGGATTGAGACGGTAGTTACTGGGTTAACATGGAAGTGAATAGTGAACGGTCCATTGTAGCAGGGATCACTCTCTCGGAACCAGTGATCTACCCTGGGCACTTCGGAGGCTTCGCCAGTCCATGGGAACAAGGATAGTTGGTAACTTAGGATACATTGAAAAGGTGTTAAACCAGTGGAATTTTGGCAAAGAGAATTTTGAGCATGCTCAGCCCACGGTGAGTACTGGCTCCAGGTGTCCTGGTGGCGGGTGCAGTACGTCCAGAGGTAACGGGAGATCTCTTGAATTTTCTGCTCAGTCTTTCCATTACTTTGAGGGTGATAGCCAGACGACAAGCTGATCGTGATGCCCAAGAGTTGGAAAAACGCCCGCCAGACCCTGGAGATAAATTGAGGCCCTCTGTTGGACACAATGTCGTCTGGAAGGCCAAAATAGGAAAGACATTGTGAAATAGTGCTTCTGCTGTTCTGTGGAAAAGCATTTTAGAGGAATTAACTTGCAGGCTTTAGAGAAGCGATCTACTACCACAAGAATCATGATGTAACCTTGTGGAAAGGTAGGTCCATGGTGAAGTCTACCCCGATGTGGGTCCAGGGTCGGCAGGGAATGGGTAGTGGTTGTAACTTCCCTTCAGGTAGGTGGTGAGGAGTGGTAGTCATGGCACAGACCGATCAACCTTGGACGTACTGGGCAACGTTTTTGATCATGGGCCACCAGTACTTCTGTCGAAGGAGTGAGAGAGTTTGCTTGCTGCCAGGGTGTCTTGAAGCAAGGGAAGTGTGCGTACTATCACAGAGCTGAATGCAGTATGTAGTGGGTACATAGGTGAGACCCAGAGGAAGCTCTGGGGGTGCTGGTTCTTCAAGTGTGGCAGTGCGAACATAAGGTGCTAGAAACACAGAGGAGGGTAGGACTGGTTCGAGTGTGTCGACATGGGGATCTGAAGAGTACTTGTGGGAGAGTGCATCAGCTTTAAGGTTTTTATGATCAGGTTGGTAAGTAATCTGGGGATTGAAACGTGCAAAGCATAGTGACCAGCAGGCTTGTCGGGCATTAAGGCGTTTTGCAGCAATATTGGAGATTTTTGTGGTCCGTAATCACGGTGAAGGGGAATTAAGCTCCCTCGAGCCATTGGCACCACTCTTCAAGGGTGAGTTTCATAGCTAGTAGTTCATGATCACCAAATCACGATTCACGATCACAATTCAACCTCAATATAGAGTGAACATTGTAAAAGGAACACATTACAGGTACTTGGGTCACCAGAGTAGCTCAAAGTTTAATAGAAATCAGTCAAGTTTGGTGAAAGAAAAATCATGGTTTGCAGTTACATTTAGTATAAGGGTGTGCTAGAGATCTGAGAGTGGATGGCAACATCAACAGCCTGAGATATCGAGACATCAAGACAAACCAGAGGAGAGGGCAAATTCTTCAGCAGGATAGCCCTCCTCATACTTCAGCTTTCACATCAAAGTTCCTAAAAGCAAAGAAGGTCAAGGTGCTCCAGGATTGGCCAGCCCAGTCACCAGAAATGAATATTATTGAGCATGTCTGGGGTAGGATGACAGAAGAAGCATTGAAGATGAATCTGAAGAGTCTTGATGAACTCTAGGAGTCCTGCTAGCATGCTTTCTTTGCCATTCCAGAAGACTTTATTAATAAGTTATTTGAGTCATTGCAGAGATGTATGGATGCAGTCGTCCAAACTCATGGGAGTCATACACAATATTAATTCTTTTTCCACTGCACCATGACTTTATATTCTATTTTGTATACTATTTCTGTTAGCAAAGTCAGACCTTACTGTCCTAATTAAATATTTAAAAATGAAGAAATTATCATATTTTATTTTGGTAAAATAAGCGTAATCTAGAGGCATTTGCCTTTCGTAAAAGCCACTTCTGATGCCAAATGATCAACTAGAAGTCAAAACTTGGATAGGCAACAAGACTTTTGTCAGGTAGTGTAGATGGTGGATATTTGCTCATTTTGTCATTCCCCATATGAACTGTAATTTATACTACTTAGAAAAGCTAATAAACAAATGAGCAGGAAGTTTAAACAGTCTGATTATCACACCAATTCTAATTCATCCAGTTTTTTTCTGTAACAAATTCATTCACTAAGAAACATACTTTTGTAAAATTTAAATATCTTCCCTTCACCATTACAAACCCACAGACAGTCACATCAGGGCGTCCAGCTGGGTGAGGTCAGTGGCCTCTGGTTTCAGAGACCCGAACATGTGTAGAGAGGAGAAAGTCTGACCCCTCTGCTCGCACCCTACTCCTTAACCTCAACTCTCTCTCTATGTGTGTGTGTAGTGAAGCGCCCTGCCCTTGAAGCCTGTTGCACGAATGCGTCGCTGACCAGACATGCCCTCCTAAACACACACTCACACACCCACACCCTCCCTCTTTATGGTCTGTTCAGGAATGAGGCAAACAGCAGCGAACGAGACGCACAATAGCAGAACAAAAGGTGCAGGCAGCAGGAGGGTACAGCGATGTGACAGGGCGAGGGCTGTGTGTACGTATGCATGTGCGCGTGAGTGTTAATGCGCGTATGCTCCATATGGGCCTTCCCTCGCCCAAAAAGGCAGATGTCACATGGGTGGCCCCGCCCTGCAGGCCATTGGGTCACGGCGCTCTGGGACACGTCTAAATAGCAGAGCAGGAGCGAGGAGGACGGGGCCTCACCCCAGCTGCCTGCTCCATATACACACATAAGCATATTCATGCACCAAAAGCACCCGGGTTCCCCCCTCCTGCTTTTGATAGGGCTCCTTTTTTTTGGTCTGTTTGTTTACTTCTCCACGCTGATTTCTGCCCCATTGTGCTCAGCCTTTAGTGGTTACCGTGCACACGTTCCTCCATTTCGTGGAGAATGAGCATCATTTGTTGAATGTATACTGTAGTGAGTGCTTACTAAAGGGTTGCTTTAACCTAAATTAATATTCTGCTATCATTTACTCACCCTTATGTCATTCTACAAACAGAAGACTTTTGTTTATCTTCAGGATGCAAATGAAGGTCACCCTGATTAAATTTAAGAGAATTACTCTACACTCTCAGAAAAAAATGTAAACAGTGGCTCAGAAAAGACCTCTTATGACACTGTTCTGCACCTTTTATGGTACAATTGAAAGAAAGTTACAAAATAGTTCTCATAAAAGGTACATGCGTGTTGGACAACTCTTTTATTACAATGGCTGTTTCTCAATATGCCTTCCTCAGTGATCTTTAGTCCTCGTGTTCTCGTGTAACGTCCTCATCAGCTGCCAAAGTTCAGTTCCAATACTCAAGACCGCAAGAACAGAGGATGCATGAAACTTCCAGGATTTATTCTTGATATCGAGGACGCACCAATGCAGACTTGAGCACCGATCTCGCTCTAGAAGTTCCAGAGAAGTCATTGCAACTGGAGGTGGGAAGCACAGCATTTTATTTAGATATATTATTAAAGTTTAGAGATCACTTATTTACCTTAGGAGTTTCCCTAAATGAAACAGTGAATATTAACATTTCCATAAATGTCTTAATAAAGGAATAAACACATTAAGGGTGTTTGTTTGCAGAAATTCCTATTAAAATATGTTTTATTTATATTGTGCAAAGCATATTTATAATGTTTTTTATGCATAGTATATATTTAGAAAATGGGAAAAACAATAAATCGTTATACGAATGCTGTAATGTTTAAATAATCTTCCATTTAATAAGTTTAAAGTTTAAGTTTAGTTGAAGGTCACGTGACCATCAGGAAGAACGCAGCATCTCAGAGGACGCATTCTCTTTTCTCTTGATCTTCCGAGTTCGTTCTTCCGAGGACACCTGGCATGACCGGTCTCCACAAGAACGCAAGTCTGTTCGCTGCGTTCTTGGAATTGAGAAACAGCCAATATCTGAAAATAAATATCACTGATAAAGCAAAGTGATTCATGAATAGTTTCCATATTAAATCATCATTTAAAAGCATATTTTTAGAGAAACTCATGAACATTAAATATTAAGTTCTATAACACAAAGCAACTGGTAAAACAAAACTATAAGTATTGTATACTTTAACATTTAACTTTAATGATATCTGCGCCTTTTGGCGTTTGCTTTCCACTGCGCACGTGAACATTTTAGTATAGTAAAACTAATCAAACATTGTGCATATCTCATTACAATACTTTTGCATAATTCTATTTCTATTTTAAAATTAAGAAAATTAATGAACTTTTAGGTGATTACAAAGGTATTGTGTGAAAATTTAAGAAAAATGTTTTATATTGTAAATGGGAGAATGTATTTCTGTAACATTTTTGTGAGAAGTATTGTGAAATGTTTAGCAAAAATAGATTAAAGCATTTTTTTCTCTTTATGGTAAAGGGAAAAGGTGGATTTAAACAAAGAAACGTTTTTTAAAAACATTGTTTAAAATGTATTTGACGTTTTATATTTACTGAAAATAAATTGACGTATTTTGGATAAAGCAAAATGCCATTAAATAGTTCTTAAGGGTACACATTTGACACTGTTAAGGTACCAAGTGTCTTGTTACTGTAATGGTACTTTCATGGATCAGATTTGCACCTTTTATGAAGGTACAGTATTGTATCTGCAGGTTTTAAAAACCAAAGGCACATTTTGGATCCCATGGAACAAATCATGTCTTTAAAAGGTACAAATTACAGATTTGTTTCTTTGTCTTAATGTACAATTCTGTTCTATAAAAAGGTACTGCTCCAGTGACAAGGGTTTGTACCTTATTTGGTGCAACATTGTACCACTTTTTCTGAGTGTATTAACAGACTGTTCACCTAATGTTTCTTAAAATGCTTACAATTTCTTTAATCCAATACACCTAAAGCGCATGTCTTTGGACTGTGGGGGAAACCCCTGCAAACACAAGGAGAACATGCAAACTTCACACAGGAATAGCAACTTGCCAAGCCGGGACACGAACCAGCAACCTTCTTGCTGTGAGGCAACAGTGCGAACCACTGAGCCACTGTGCTGCCCCCGTTAGCTACCTCATTGCAAATATTTTTGAGCATATCTGTGAGTTAGTGACTCCCTACATCGCTGTCCTCGAGATCACTCATAGGAATGAAGGCTCTGGTAACTGTTTAAACAATTCTTTTGCACACCTTCCAACCAATCAGAATCTAGAAGTTCAACAGGAATAACATGCTTTAAATTGTTAGCTGTCAGTGTATATACATTATGTTTTTCACTGTTGAAAGTAATTTGTTAAAGGATCTGAATTCACTGAAAGATCAATGAACATCAATTCATTTTCACAACATATTAAGTCTATCTGCAACCTTCTGCAATTGTTAATGGTTGAAAGCAACTTTAATTGGCCGTACACTCATTTTTAAATGCAATAAAGAACCCTGCAAACAGTTAAGGAACAGTAGTGGATGATTAACTGCGGTTTCTAGCCAGAATCAATATGTGGCTTGGATGATAGTCAACCCTTGGATTGGGAAATCCTGTTTTAGTAGTTACAGTAAAATGGGAGACTCATTTTCTGAGGAATAGCTGTGTTAAAACTCCAGGCCAACATATTAAGACTCTGTAAACGCTTATTTTGTGCATATATTGTGCATATACAAAAATAAAGAAACAACTAATATAAAGCTTAACCTTTTTTCCTTCTCTTTTTTTCCTTCACCTTTCCACTTTCCATTTTCCTTCACCTTTATTTATCTGGGGTCACCACAATGGAATGAACTGCCATCTTTTCCAGCAGATGTTTTATGCAGCAGATGCCCTTCAAGCCGCAACTTAGTACTGGGAAACACCCATTCACTCTCATTCACACATACACTACGGCCAATTAAGCTTATTCAATTCATCATGTGTTTGGACTGTGGGGAAAACTATAGCACCCAGAGGAAAACTCTACACAGAAACATCAACTGGCCCAGCCGCGCTGGAACCAGTGACTTTCTTGCTGTGAGGTGACAGTGCTAATTGAGCCACCATGTTGTGCCAATATAAAGATTAATTACGTTAATATGATCAAAAATTGAATAAGTTTAATACATTTATGAACTATGGGAAAACATTTGATCACATAAAATAAATGTGGTTGAATGCATGTTTAAACAGTTATATTACAGGACTGTTGAATGCTTGATTTTGATGTTCTAAGGTATAGTATAATATAATTTTAGCACTGGGGCATTACGGTGGCACAGTGGGTAGCACAATCGCCTCACAACTAGAAGGTCCTTGGTTCGCAACCCAGGCTCACTCTGAAAACGTAGTCCAGCAGACGTTTCTGTAGACCGTGAAATACGTCCCAGGAGGTACGTATTTGTGCAGTTTTTGTTTTCGCGAATGCGCGAGAGGCCGCTGTGTGCGCTTTTCCGTATCTCGAACGTCTCTTGCGAGTGCCGTTTGCGCCCGCGCTGTTCTCGCATCAACCCACCAGAGGCCGCTGTCTGACTGACCGAATGATTGACTGCGCGACCGGCAAATCGGCTGACCCACCCTTCTGCTTCCCTGAACCCAACCAGTTTTACCGATTGACCCGCCCGCTCACTTCCCTAAACCCGAGCAACTATTTAGAAAAGCCGTCTAGAAAAAGAAAAACACTTGTCTGTTTTTTTTTTTTTTTAACCACGTTTTCGGATTTCACCACGTTCTCACCCTGTTATGAACTTGTTCGCTTTATTTTTTTTGTATTCTGTTTTTGTCTAACCTGGTTTCTGAAACCGCTCTTCCCCGGACGTCAACTCCTCCTCTCTGCATCTGAAGTCCGCTGACGTACACGATGAGCTGACCGGACAAACTGACTGCGGTGGGAAAGCCCTCCACACGGAGGTAAGCAGTCAGCCGGCAAGCGCGAAAGGGAACAGCGTCACACCGCCCCGTAGCGTTCGCTTAAAAAAATTAAATGCATCAATACGTACCTCCCGGGACATATTTCGCGGTCTCCAGAAACGTCCACGGGACTACTTTTTCAGAATGAGCTTGGGTTGTTGGTTCAAACCTCGGCTGGCTCAGTTGGCATTTCCGTGTGGAGTTTGCATGTACTCTCCATGTTCATGTGGGTTTCCTCCGGGTGCTCTGGTTTTCCCCACAAGTCCAAAGACATGCGCTATAGGTGAATTGGGTAAGCTAAATTGTCCGTAGTGTATGAATGTGAACGAGTATGTATAGATGTTTCCCAGTGATGGATTGCAGCTGGAAGGGCATCTAAGTTGGCGGTTCATTACGCTGATTAATAAAGGGACTAAGCCCAAAAGAAAGTGAATAAATGATTTAGGACTGTATATAAGCAACAATGCTTTTAGTCATGGTTAATTCACAGACTTGGTTGTGTGTTATTGTGTCATAACTCAACAGAACAGAGTCAGTTATTTTACACTTTTGTTATTTTTCAATGTGTGAGAAACATTTATAGTATAAGTTTTTACCAAATTATTTAAAGTGCAATTTTTAGATTTCTATTGAATCCAACTTGGGTCAGTTTGATCTGCAACATTAAAATCCAGAATTCAAACATAATAAAACGATTGAATAATCTTGATGGTTAAGTCAATTTTGCTACTCTTAACATTTTGTATTCTACAAACAGCAGAGAAAATAAGTATTGAACGCATCACCATTTTTCTCAGAAAACATATTTCTAAAGGTGTTGTTGACTTGAGATTTTTACCGGATGTTGGTAAAACCAAAGAAATCCATATATGCAAAGAAAACTAAACTAATTAGATTACAAATGAAGTTATGTGTAATAAAATAAAATGACACAGGGAAAAGTATTGAACACATGAAAAAAGAGAGGTTTAGAAAGACAGTGAAAACACAGACAGCAGCTGATATTTCTCAGTAGTTCTTCAACAATCCTCTGCCCTTCGTCATTGTAAATTTGTATTGGCTGCTTCAGTCCAACATCTACATTATCAGATAAAGATGAAACCAGGGTGAACATTTCAGCAAGATAATGATCCAAAACACTGCTAAGGAAACTCTCAAATGCTTTCAGAGAAAGAAAATAAAGCTGTAGTATGGCCCAGCCAATCGCCTGACTTGAATCCAATAGAAAATACAAAATAAAGATCAGATTTGATAGTCCCAAAGAACCATCAAGATTTGTACACTCTGTTAAAGTGTGAAAAAGTCTCACCTGAGAAATTCATGAGACTTTATTCTCCATGAGAGGAGTCTGCCATCACCAACAAGCCTTTTTATATAAAGTATTAAATTCTCTTCAGTAGTTCAGTACTTTCTCCTTGTGTCATTTCATTGTTATTACACATTACAAATTTTTCAGTTTTAGTTTTGTTTTATTTTTATGTCAACATGGGAACCCTAATCTGGTTCAATTCCATGTCAAGAGCTCTTTTAGAAATATTATTCCCAAAAAAAACATGACTTATTTTTCTCGCTGTATATGAGATTTATGTTTATGTTATGGTATATTAGTTTGCTGTTTCTCAGCTCTGCCAAGTCAGTTTGTTATGAAGATACATTGTCATCTCTCTATGATTCCCTGTCATTTCCCCATCTCTCTATTCTTGGTCTTCATTAGCATAGCAGCTGCTGAGTGCAGGGTGTGTGTGAAGTGGAGACGGCTGGTGTGTATATGTGTGTGTGTGTGTGTTTCGGAGGGGGTGAGCAGGGGGCTCTAATCAATGGTGGTCCGTCTGGGAGCTGAATAGCGATGAAGCAGAATCCAGCAGGCCGGACAAAAAAAAAGAGGAGAGCACAGAATAGAGTGAGAGAATGAATGCGCTTGTCACTGTGTGCTTGGAAAAAAAAAGTGCAGAGCGGAGCGAAAGAATGAAAGAGAGTTCAAACAGGAGAGGAGGGTAAGGAAGGACAGGCAGAGCCACCTGTCTCATTCTCTCCACATCTCTCCTCTCGCTTTTCACTATGACGGATCTTTACTTTACATGTTGAACAACACACACTGCTCAAACTGAACAGGAGAGAGCAGATAGCAATTGCGTTTGCAGTAGCTGTTTCAATCCAAAGATGTAAATTTATTTATAGGTGCAAAATTGAAATAGGGCAAAATAATGGCTCAGTGGTTAGCACTGTTGCCTCACAGCAAGAAGGTCGCTGGTTCAAGTCTCGGCTGGGTCAGTTGGCATTTCTGTATGGAGTTTGCATGTTCTCCCCATGTTCACTTAGGTTTTGCTCCGGGTGCTCCAGTTTCCCCTACAGTCTAAACACATGCGCTATAGGTGAATTGAATGAACTAAATTATCCGTAGTGTATGCGTGTGAGCTAATGTGTACGGATGTTTCCCAGTACTGGGTTGCAGCTGGGTGTGTGAAACCAAAGACTATAGAATACACAAGACATGTACATATAAAAGTGGGGAAAAGTGTATCTGTCAATATGGCGAAATAAGCCCCACCTTCTAGTACAGGAGCCAATCGTCGATCAATATAGAATGACAATTCTATATTGACAATTCACAGCAATTCAAACATGGCTCCCGAGTGAAATGACTTGCCTTAAAGGGACTTTGGTAAAAAAAAATATGCTGAATAAGTTGGCGGTTCATCCTGCTGTGGCGACCCCTGACTAATAAAGGGACTAAGCCGAACAAATGAATGAATGAATGAATGAATGAAATTGAAATGCTGCATAAAACGTGCCAATAAATCAAAGTTGAAGGCTGATGTTTGTAAAAATGATCATGCAAGGCAGTATTATTTGACTATTTTACAAAATCATTTTGAGGATTGACTCAGATGCTTGAAGAATTATAAAAAGGACAGCGAACACAAAAATGAAAAGTTCCTCACCACTTGCATTTAACTTTTGCTACGTGTTTAAACTACTTATTTAAAATGAGCTGCAACAACACAATTCTTGGGTTTTTGGGGGGACAACTTAATTGTTTTATGTTCAAACAACCTAAAATTTAAAACAAAACATTAAGTTAACTTAAACGATTTGTGTTGGGACAACATTAAGGGATATTAGGGAACCCAACATTTTTTACAGGTTCTAAACTTAATAATTTAACCTAATAATAAATGTTGGGTAAAAAACAGCCAGTATTTATGTTTCCATGCAAAGATGCAAACTAAATTTATACGCAAAACAGGAATATCGCATGAAGATGTGGGAATATAGCAGCGTCTCCATCCAACGAGTCAAAGAGAACAAAATCGTCAATTCCTGATTAACTGGTGCCAAATATCAACAGTAAAAATGGCATTTATTAAGGTAGGAGAGGCTGCGTGAATCCTGTCTTCATTTAATAAACTACTTGCGCCTCAGACAAAGAATACATGAAATTGTTTGAAGGCGTGAGACGAGGAGCACAGATGCCCCCGACAGTTCTAGAGGTAATTAATAGTATAATACACTAATACTGAAATGGTTAAGGTGTTGTAGAATGACCAAAACAACATTTCAGATGTTTTACAAAATGTGTAACATAACATTGATACTACATTGATATTTGGAACAAAAATAATTCTATGGAAGTCCAGCAACAGTTTTTCATCCTTTTTGTTTAACAGATGAAAGAAACTCAAACAGTTTTGGAGGAAGATAAGTACATTTTAATTTCTGGGTGAACTATCCAGTTAAAAGAACATTAGAGAAGGTGAAAGATTAGATTTCACTGGTTAGTCTACTTATCGAATCATATCATCTTTTTGGACGTATGACTGTCATATGACTTTTTTGATGCGCATCAAGGAATTTGCTGATGTTTTAAACCAACATTTCTGCATTTTTTTAAATGACAAAGGCAATCATAAAGAAATAGACTTCAAGCGAAATGAAAGGAGGAACTGGTGGAACGTCATTTGAACAAAATCAGGCCAATTTGATTTTGATTTTATGTGCTTTCTACTGCATGGAATGATATGATATAAAATGTTTTGGTTCGATACAACTTTAGGGGTTTTCATGCTTGCCACACCTAGGACCTAGTACTTTTTTAGTACCACCTCAGATGATGTTCCAAGCGATACAACACAGGCTCATTCTGAAAATGTAGCCCACATAAATTTCTGGAGATCGCGAATTATGTAGCCAAAGCTATGTATGACTGCATTTAATTTTTTTTAAAAATGCAACAGGGCAAATTGGTGTCACTTCTTTTCTCGATTACCAGCTAAGCGCTTACTTCCGTGTGGACGGCTTTTCCGCTTTCACCAGTTTGTCTGGTAGTTCGACACATATGTTGGCAGACCTGAGACGCAGAGTGGAGTTGACCGCTCCAATAGGGTTCAAGTGCGGTGAAAAACATTTCCAGAATGCAAGACAAAAGCCAAAAATTTAAATAAACAAGTAAATAACAGGGTGAGGATGTAATAAAAATTTATAAAAAAGGTAAAAATTAGGCGAGGGCTTTTCTTTTATTGGATTGCTTTTGAAAACACAGTTCAATCTGGGCTTTTTAAAACACTATTGGTTGCGTTCAGGGGGGGGGGGGTTATAATTGGCCAGTTGGTCAGTCAGTAAGTCATTCGACAGTGGCCTCCGGTGGATTTACGCGAGCAGCAGGCAAGAATTGCACCTGCTCCTGGCACCTATTTTGCTCTCTCCAGAATTATATATGCATATAGAGGTACGTAATCAGAATGAGCCTGGGTTGGAGCGATATCATAACCAAATCATTATTTGTACAGACTGCTAAACCCCTGCTGGTCCAAGAAAATACCAAACTCACTATTATTTTATTAGTACAATATTGTATTATACAATATTCCTTTATTAATTAGCAACAGCCATTGCTTTATAGTTGGTTCACAAGACAAAAGAGCTTTTTTTATAACCACCGTCAGAAGAATACTTCTTTAATAGCAGTACAGTGGTCAGTAGAAGAATTTCAGGTGTTCTTCTTGTTGAGGGGTGAGAAAACTCCGTCCTGGAGGGCTGGTGTCCTGCAGATTTTAACTCGAAGTTGCCTCAGCAGATAGAGACAAGCTAAATTAAATATCACGTTTAACATCTATAGTAAGACGCGGTTTAGCGGTACATCCTTAATAAACTGCACAATGTGCACTGCTCTCTGGGGTTTGGTGCTCAATGCACCTGCTGACTGCTGGAGCTCAGACTCGCACATTTTGGCAAATCTTCACCCTGGCCAGAGTTTTCAAAAATATCCATTTCAGTCACCTGACACTGCATTTTCACAAGGACAAACAAACAAATCACATAGAAAAAAAGTGCAATTTTGAAAATACCTGTGTTTGTGTGGACAGACGCTGAAGAGCAAAGTCCAGTCATGTCAAAGACTGACAGCCAGATGCTTTCATAAGGACGTTAAGACTATTAATTTTCCAAAACAAATAATTTGACATTGTGTTTCGTTTTGTTTCATACAGTCGGCCATACAATGCTCACCCTGACATTGCTGGTAACATGGACAATTAAGCTGAAAGAAGGTAAAACTGACAAAACGGAACCCCTTTAAATGGTGTTTCTTTTACAATTTAAATGTGCAGTTATGTGATATATGTGGAAAGGGACTCTCAAGAACAAGTATATCTTTGATCCCCCTTTTAGAAAAAAAAGTGGGCTCCCTAATGGGCCACAGTATTCGAACACTGGTTTGAAACCTACAGGTAAGTGTGTTGAAGCAGGATTGGAACTAAACTCAGCAGGACTATGGTCCTCCAGGAACTAAGCTTGTAGGTGAGTTTCTACCTACTGTATCCTTTATTCTATTGGTTTTCATAGTTTTGTTTATGCATAGTTATTTAATATTGTGTAACCATATATTTTATTACTAGCTTGATATAATAATTTAATAACTCTCAATAATAATGTTTATTATAAATTATATGTTTGATTGGACAGTGGAGAAGAAATAGAAAACAAAGCATATTATATGTTTCGTGTTAATTTATTATAATTATTTATTGTTATAGCCTTACTATTACATGTATTTTTTTATGTTATTCTGATGTAACTTCAAAAAAACATGTCAAACCATCACATCTTTAACACCATAGCTCATTTCCCACCAGCAGATGAGTGCATTTATTGGATTATGCAGCGTTTGAAAGGAACTTTTCCTGGTAATAGTTGTGGTCATGACTAAGCCATTGCAACAATCATTCATCTTCATTCCCCTCTGGCTATAATGTTCATCTCCCGCTGAGAATTCGCAACAATTTTCGTGGCCACAAACATGTTTTGCTCTGCATGTGTGTACTTGCAACCAGGGCAAGCGATGTTGTTGGGCCTTTTCGCAGAATCACATGTGAAGGTATGTGAAACTGCTGACAACAATCTGTCCGTGCGAAGAGCTCGTTTTGATCTCTGGAACACTTGCGGTGGATTTCCAGAGCGCTGAAGGTGTACGGTAGGAAACGAAGCATTCCTGTGCACTTAACTACAAAACAAAAGAGGAAAACAAAGTCCAACTCAAAGCCTCCACTTCACATTCTCCACACTAGACGAGGAGCATGTTTCCTTCTCGCTCTCAAGTACATTCACAAAATTCTTTTTCACATTGTTGGGTTTGCACGTCCCTCCCTCTCGAGCTGGCGGTGGGGGGAAGGCTAGAGCGACGGGACTCTGTTAAAATCATTTCCAAATTCCTGCAATGATGTGTGTCGGGACTGAGGCACATGAAGAATCTATTAGGGGGCCTCTCTATTGCACTCTGGGAAGGTGGCCAACTCAGCCGCCGGACAATGGAAATCCAGCTCAACAATAACATCCTGCCTGGGGAATGGAGGGGGGTGGAAACAGAGAAGGATGCCATTGAGGTCACAGTCATCTAGTGAGGGTTTTCTTCAGAAAAGCATGCAGTAAACTCTGTCTACCTGCAGAAAACACCATGCATTAGAGCAGTTTGCTCAGGGTTCGGATTACCGCTGGAATAAACTAGCCTCCACACAATGTCGGATAGTTTTTTGTGAACTTCCTTCAAAACTTTGCAGTTATAAATCGGAAAAGGAACAAAATCAGCATGCCATTCATCTCTCAGTGCTTGAATTTCACTTGTTGTACAACTCTTGTTTCACGAGAGCATGAAATGCAGCATTCGTGACTAAGGGTGTGTTCATAATTGGCAGCTTTGGATTGATTGAAATGAACTCAATTGCTCGGTTTGTGCAGTTCATTTCAGTAAGGCTATGACCATGCGGCAATTATCAAGCTTTATTTCATACTGCAGATTCTGAAAGTCTACATCCATACCCAAATCATTTGAAGAAAGGTCTGCGTACAGATGGAAACAAAAAAACTGGTTTAAAATGTTGTGAGCATGAAGACCAGCTGGCTGACTATGGACAATAACACAAGAAGATGTCTGAGAATGCACAAATATTGAAAAATAGCTGATGCAGCTAACTTGTAATGCGTCTAGCCATCTAGTTGATACAGTTTTGTTGTAACAGTGCTAATAAACTTAACAGCATCTGCAGCACAAGCAGACCTCTGTAATCCACCATCGTTATTGTTACCGGTTGTTACATGTGGGGTTTTTCCTTCTTCTTATGGTCACCACAAAGTGGCGTTTTGGCTATCCACGCTGCTTAGTGGAAAGTGGACTTTTCACCCTTTTTCATTAAATGAATTATTTCAGGTCACCAACAATTAGTGGTGGAAGGAGTACTGAAAAATCTTGCTTAAGTAAAAGTACCATTACTTGCCTAAAAATGTAGTGCGAATAAAAGTATGTTATGAATATTACTCAAAGTATGAGTAAAAAGTAGACCTTTCAAAAGTACTCAACAGCAGTGATTAGTGAGTATTATGCTATAAAAAGCTGATGCGATTACATGAAATTTGTGGATGTGTGTAAACGTAACATTCTGTAGTGCATTTAGTTATGGTCCAGCTGGCACACAACATCATAAGGCGTTAATATTAGGTTAGATTTAGGTTGTGATGTCAGGTGACCAAAATTCAATGTCTAGCCAGCATCTAAGGACAACATTAATTTGAAGTCCAATAACGATGTCAAATGATGTTGATATTTTGTTGATTTTAGGTTGTTAGAAAGTGACCAAAATTCAGCATCAAGCCAACATCTTAAACCAACCTCATATTGACATCAAATACTGACATTTATTCGTGGTGCGTCTATAGAGGCAACCTAGGTGGCCACCTAGGGTGGCAAAATAGTGAGGGCGGCAAACGCACCTCTGCAGGTTAAAGGAAAGTAGTGAAGTAAAAATACAGATACTGCACTCAAGGGAAAAGTAAAAGAACACATTTTTAAAACTACTTAGTAAATTACAATTCCTGAAAAACAACCCAATTACAGCAATTTGAGTGTTTGTAATTTCTTACTTTACACCAACTGTTGACAATTCCTGTGTTAAATGGAAAGGCCAAACTGATATTAAACTTTCACGGATTGACCTAAATCCGTAGCCTTGTGGACGGGGTCTGTGTGAACACTGGCATCACCATCTCAATATTGGTGTTCACCAAACAATTTAAAAAATGTCTCTCAGTCTGCTCACAAACTTCAGGCATGGAAAAATTAATGCAACCTGGACCAAAACATCTTTAATAGATGAATTGCAATTAAAAGATGTGATCATTTAAAAGAAAGACTTAGGTATTTAGGTCTCTTAAGATTGGCCAGAAAACTAGGTGTACAAAAGTCAATTTTTTTTTTTTTTTTGGTTTAAACCAAAACTTAGCAATCAAAGCTGGAAATGCCAGCCCATTCTGTGTCTATGTTTCAAAGCTGGTGTCCAGTAGTTCCCTATAGAACAAGATCTGCACACTTTAGCTGGAACCCTGGTTTCTGCCGGTTTCATCAAGTCAAATTTAAGAGTATTTAATACCGTTTTAAAACCATAAAGAATGAAATTTTAGACTAATACAGGGCTAAAGACTAAGGATTTTTTTTACACAAGGAATTGTGTAATTGTTTTTAAGGAATTTCGTTGGGGGAATTTGCTGTAAAAAAAAATGTCTAACAGCTGTTGTGAACTGTATCTCTTTGCAACAAAAAGCTTGAATATAAAAAATAAGGTTTCATTGAGATGTGTTGTTGGTCAGTGGATGGATGTTGGCCCGACTGAGTATAGCTTCATTTATGCAACGCAAAATTAATACCCGTTTAATATTATTTAAGAGCTAATATTTCAGTGAATGTAAGTCTTTTTAAGGCCAAAAAATTTCATTTAGGAAATTTAAGACATTTTAAGACATTTTAAGACTTTTTAAGACCCAGTGGAAACCCTGCCAACCCTAATTAAACACAGCTGATAAAACTAATTAAGTGATTTAGGCTTGTTTGAAACCTACAGATACACTTAAATAAATGATTACTGCTGCTTGTTCAAACAACCCGTTTAAAATGAGATGAAACAACACAATTCTTGTATTTATTTGTTTTATGTTCAGTCCATTTAAATTTGTAAACCATTAAGTTAACTTAAGAGTTTTGTGTTGGTAATTCTCAATTAAATTGAGTTCATCCAAAAAGATATTTTTTGAGTGTCGGTATGTTGAAGCAGGGCTGGAACTAAATTCTGCAGGACTGTGGCCCTGCAGCAAGTGAATTTGACACCCTTGTTCTAGAACATAGACATTTACTTGCTGGAGAAAGGATCTTCACAGGGCCACTGGCATTATTATAATATTTATCTCTAAAAGAAAAAAAAATGTCTCATTTCACTTTTCCTAAAACTTCTTCCTTCTACTACTATAAAATAAGTCTAAAAATTCAATTAAAAGCACTTTATCATTGTTTGTGATTAATTTATGTTGTCAATCCACTAATGCGTTATGGGATCTTGCTCTCTAATCTATTAACTTTTGAGTGAATTTGATTAACATTTTTAGTACTTTTAAATGATATATTGTCTGAGCTGGTCACTGGTACACCCCCCACAAATCTTTCATTTAAATTAATATTTTCTATAGGATGCTATACAATATTAAATCTGTAATAATATTAAATCTAATCTAACAAGACAACTTATGATAACAGTCCAAAAATTAGAAGCCCAAATTTATGTTAGGGAAATATATTAAATATAATTTAAAAAAGAGCAAAATCAAGATCAATTCATTCTAATATTTTGTTGAAATTTACGTAGTTTGTAATTATTTCCCTGGTATTTGGCATGAAATTAATTGTATTATCTTTCATTTTCTAAATATGTTTGTTGGCTAAAATACAATTTTAATAAATATATCTGTTTAATAAATCATTTTTTTAATGCACCAAAATACATTGCCTATATTCACTGAGAAATATACAAATACAAATATTCGTTTTTCAAATGGGGTGTACTGTTATATTGAGCACTGTATAAAATCTAAAGTTTTTCTAAAGACTAAATCTAAAGACTAAAGTTTTTCTAAATTTCTAAATCTAAAATCTAAAGACTTTTAACAATTGTAGTTACAAGATGTGATCATTAAAAACAGATTGCATTTTAGGATCTTTAGATTGGCCAAAAAAAAAACAATCTTTTTTTTTATTTTATTTTTTTGGTTTGGACCAAATAAAGAAAGCAATCCAAGCTAAAAATGCCAACCCATTCTTTATAACTTATAGTGTCAATGTTTCAAAGCTGACGTCCAGTAGACGAACATAGACCTTTACTTGCTGGTGGAAGGATCTTCACAAGGCCACTGGCATTATTATAACATTTATCTCTAAAAAAAAAAATAATGTCCGATTTCTTTTCCTAAAACTGCAGTTTTAGCTATTACTGCTGTAAAATATGTCTAAAAACTCTATTAAAAGCATTTTATGGTAGTTTTTTTTTTGTGTGTGAGTGTGTGTGTTTTTAATGCACCAATGCATTATGGTATTTTGCTCTCTAACCTATTAACTTTTGAGTGAGTTTCATTGACATTTTTAGTTTTAAACAATATATTACCTGAGCTGGTCACATTCAATGCTCAGTATATTTAAGTACACCCCAAACAATTATCTCATTTAAATTCATATTTTCTATAGGATGCTTAACAATATTATATTTGTGCATAAACATTAGATTAGACAGCAACAAATTTAATTCTAGAGCTAATCTAACAAAATAGTTTACAATAACAGTTCAAAGATTAGGAGCTCAAATTTATGTTAGAATAAAATACATACACACAAATATATATATATATATATATATATATATATATATATATATATATATATATATATATATATATATATATATATATATATAATTTTTTATATATATATATATATATATATATATATATATATATATATATATATATAATTTTTTAAAGAGCAAAACTCAAGAAAAACAAAAAACCTAACATTTTGTTGAAATTTTGTATTTTGAATTTTTTTCAATATTTTGCTTGAGTTTAATTTTATTATCTTTTTAAATATCTAAATATGTTTGGTGACTACATTATTATTTTAATAAATATATCTGTTTAATAAATCTGTTTTCTTTAAATGCACCAAAATATATATCCTATTTTCACTGAGAAATGGATAAAAATATCCATTTTCCAAATGTTACTCAGTTATGATGAACACTGTAAATTACAATACAAATGGCCTATCAGTTCTTTTTCTGTACCTATATATAGTGTTTATCATTCATCACATTGATCAAAAACAAATATCAATAAAATTCACTGTAGAGGTAGTTGTCGAAAAAAGAAATCAAGTTCTATAAATGCAAACAATAAAGGACAAATGCCAATTAACAGACATTGTATACATTGTTTTTCCCCTTTTATAATGAATTGCTTGCTTTTTTTATATTTTGATGAAAGTATCTGATAAATGATCGAGGAAAAACATGAAAGCAGTTTGGAATCGGAAGTGCACAAAATGAAGAACTGAAGTGCCTGAATGTGTGTTTCTGAAAGTATGAAGAAACGCTCTGCACAGAACAGAAGGGCAGAAAGCTGCTCCATGCACAGAGTTGTAACATAAAACCCACACAAACACACAGGGAGGGGATCTGTCTTTAAAACAAAATTACCCACAACCCCCTGCACTCTTTTATCCAGCATATGAAAGGACTGGGCCAAATGAATGACAAAAAGAAGAGAATGGAAACTGGGGTCAGGTTGGCCCAGAGAGGAGGCCCAAACCAGCCCAACGATATAAAGAAACTTTCACAGCCACACACAGAGGAAGGTTTAATTATTTCTTTACTGGCTTGAACACATACACGCATACAACAACAACAACAAAAAAACACACATTACAGCACTCATATCCTCACCGCACACGAATCACAGTGTTACAAATGTTCAAAAATTACAAACAAAAACGGACGCACAAACAAAAAGCTGAAATCAACACAACGAACACTCGCATCACTCATAAAACTTTTGTTTGCTGGAGACACAAAATAACTTGGTCCACAAAAAGACAAAGAAAGAAAAAAACAGCACTTTTACTCATTCATATACACCTATCCAGTCATTTAACCCCATGTCATAAATGTTATGACAAATTTTGGG